TGCTTTGAGCTTGCCTGGACAAGCTGCTTGTACACAGAGCATTGCGGGCCTGGTTTTGGTGCTTTGAACTGGCCTGGCCCATTTTTACTGGCTGTCATGAGGTAAGAATAGCTCTGCTGCATAGACAAAAACTGCTACCCGTAAAACAGAAAATTTCCTTCTTATGAATATGAACACTGATAAGGCGTAGAAAATGAACTGTCAATTTCCCTGGAAAATGAGGTAATACTTCAAAACAAAACCCCTAAATGTTAAATTCTAAACCTTGCCATGTTGTCTTTTACATTTGCAGGTATATTTTGAAAACAGTAGTTCTGGGCCAGATGCTTTCCTTGTTTATCTGTGGGACTGCTGTTACAAGCCAGTACCTAGCAGAGAAATTCCAAGTGAATACTCCAATGTTGCAAAGTTTTATCAACTATTCTTTGCTTCTTCTAGTTTACACAACGATGCTGGCATTTAGGACTGGTACGTAACATATCGGGGGGAGATTCTGGTTCTGGAGATTTTGTTCCCTTCTATATTTTTCTCTTGAATTTTGAAACTAAAAAACTTAGTACTTGTCCAAGCTTTTTAAAATCCCTGCTGAAATTCCTGCCTTGTAGTAACACATGACAATTAACTTGATTTTCGCAAGTTAAGCAAGCATTTCATTTCACTTCATGTATTTTAATGGAACCAAAAATAAAAATTTAAATCTTATATTATATTAGAAGAAAGTAATCTTTATTGTAACAAATCTCATTACCAGAGCCTATTGAATATTCCTTCTACATCAATGCACTCTTCAAACAGTCCTAATCTTCTATTTTTTTTCTTGTGATGGATTTCCACACCTTTCACCATTTTTATTGTCTTCTTACAGGCTGCTATTTGTTCTTACTATATCTTTCTTACAATTGGCATCCAAAATCAAGCATCGCAATATTACATGTGCTTGTAAAAAGCAATATCCTTGCTCAGCATTTCTTCTGAAAGGACCATATATTGATTGGTGCTTTTTTTCTTAACAGGCAATGACAGCCTTCTGCAAATTCTGAAGCAGAGGTGGTGGAAGTATATTCTTTTGGGACTGGCTGATGTTGAGGCCAATTACATGATTGTCAAAGCATACCAATACACGACCCTGACAAGTGTCCAGGTAAGAACCAATCCCCCTTTCCAGATTGTCGCTTTTCTTAGAGTTTTGGACTGTTTTCTGAGATGAGATTTCAGAGGGCACACATAGAAGCTATTTAAACACGAACAAAAAGTCAATATCTCTCTTCTCTTTGCAATACAGAGAAGAGCATCCTGCATCATGAGTAACATTTTCAGGAAGCAGAGAAAATCGGCTGGTATTACCCAGTGCCAATTCTTAAATTGAACTCTCAAGCATTTTTGTATTTTTGATAGAAAGCACTTCCAAGAGTTTGCTGACAACTCTTTTTTTTTTCCCCTCCATGATGCAAAAATAAAGATTTAAGACCAGGTAACACTGACTCAGCACACGTTCTCGCTGCTGACAGCAGAGTGAATCTCTTGCCTAACCCTCGAAGCTGTGGGAGGCACTGGGAGATAGATGTAAGATGTGAGGACACAGCTGGAAGTGAGCTGTGCTGCGAGGCAGCCTTGGGCTCTGGGATATGGCACTTCCAACCCTTCCCTGTGAGAAGGGAAGGGACATGAGCTTGCCGTGTTCCCGGAGAGGCTGTAAACAGCAGCATCCTCTGCACTGCCAGTGCTTGGCGACGTCTTGCTGCATCAGGAAAACCTTGTGTAAATAGCTCCAGGAGCTGGAGGACTAAGAATGTAGTTTTCTCCTCACTACATGCAGATGGAAGCTGGCAGCTAATGTGTAGCTGGAATGAATTGTGATCTGGGTTCCTCTCTGAAAGCTGCAATGACTTTTCCTCCTGCTGTTTAAGGAACAATAACATGTGCCTGAAGGATTATCATTGTCATGTTTTCCACTTCATACTTACGGCTCATTAGGCTTTTAATTTACTTACGAGTGATGTGTGAGAAATTAGAGTTTTAGCAGTGATATATTTCTGTCTCAAGAAAAAGCTAAGCTGATGGCTGAAATATTCTTTGATCGTATAATTCACAGCCGAAGAAGCCAGGACTTAGGTCCAAATTCTCAGAAGGAATAAAGCTATTCCCATGACTTCTTCCATAGAAATTAAGAAAGAAAAGGTAGAGTTGGTCTTCTTGCCCAGTCACTGAAGTTGGACGTTTGCTGAATCTTCTCACGTGATGATCTTCAGACTGATGCCTCCTTAAGTGCCAGTTCAGTGTTAGGAATTTATTGTACCTGCCCATTGCAGCAGGATTTCTTGCATATCACATGAAGTAACCCGTTTCCCACCACTGTCAGAAATGAGAATCAGAACAAAAAGGTCTGTCAGGAGCAGGTAGTTCTGCTCTAACATTAGTACGTAAGAATGGTTATTCTGGTTCAGAGCACTGCCCTAATACTCTGTCTTCAGTAGTGGCCTTAAATGGATGCCCTGGAAGCACAAAACCAAGGCAGGAGTATATCACACCTTTTCTGAACTCTGTGCTCACTGTTGAAAGGCTACCTGACTGGAGCTTGAGCTCAGCCTCATGATTTTTGTCCAAGATAAGTTTCTGCTCAGCAAGGAACTTCCATGTATTCTTCACACACATGCAAAGAAAAACAATTCTCCTCAAGTTATCAAATGTGCTAACAGGGAATTGCAAGGAAGGGCTTGGGAGATTTTTACAGAGATAACATTGGGGTGATAATGCTCATTTCTCTGTAAATAAAGACAAAAGTCTCTGGGCCACAACTGCAGCTCTTGAGTTCTGGCTGAGACGATGCCAGGGGCGCTTCCCCTGCGAGATGCACACGCTTCAGTCTTGTGTCAGGAATGACCACGCTGCTCCGTGTAACGCGTTCGCCCGCATCCTTGATAGCCCAGTGTTGTTAATGTGCTTTTTGTAAGGTGAGCATTTGCTGTTTACACAATTCAGGCGGGGACATTTAGTTGGCAGCTGTTGACAGAATATCAGTTCATAGAAGAATATTAACCACAAGAGGAGAAAAGCAGCGCGTGCCCCTGGAGCTGCCCGTGGGAGCCGTGTGGGCAGGAGGAGCTGTGGAGCTTTCCTGCTCTCTGAGGTCTGGGAGCTGCCACTTGTGAGCAAACTAACAGCCTCTAATGATCCACTGCAATCGCTTAAACATTTATTAAAGCATCTGTTAATAATTTACCCTATCATTAAAACCTTCCCACAAGCAGGGTGGTTGAAACCTGGTTGGAGTCAAAATTAAATCAGCAGGTTATCTTCTTTTTTTTTTCCCTCCCTGTAAATACGCAGTGCAGAATTGAATAATACAAGAGTTTGCTGAGGCTCTGCTGGCAATTGGTACCAAGCAGAACTACCGTAGATGTTGTAAAGCCTGAATAAATCTTGTTCTTTTAAATATTTTCATTGACATAAGCTCACTGTGATATTACAGTTGCTTTGCAGATCTTTGATCTTGATCCTACACAGAAGAGAACATTTTCCTCCAGAAAACTCTTTGAACCTAGTAGGAGAAGGCCAGATGCACTAACTGGAAATCAGATTTCTTTAGTTTGTAATTGGGCATAATTGGCTGCCGGAATAAATTACTAGTGTAAATTCTTCATCATCTGGTGCCCATTTGCCCTTAATGCAAGTGTTTTAACCAGGGTGCTGTAGCTCTGGAATATTGGTCTGAAGCCAGCAATTTCCCATCTAGTGTTAATGAAAGAGATTGCACCTCATTATCTAGAAGACCTTTGTGCTCTAATTAATCTTTTTTTTTTTCTAAAAAAAAAAAAAAAAAGAGAGGCTTTTGTTCTAATCTTTTGGGTTGAAAAACTGCTTGCAGGCTAGAAAGCTACATGGTAACATCTCAATAAGTAAGGAAATGAAAGCTTGCTTATTAATAGAGGATGATATGTCTACTGGCAGGGAAATGATTTTTTTCCTTTTTTATTTTTGTAATATTTCGTAGCTTCGTTGATTACAATTTCTCACCAGAGAAATCTTTGTTTAAGACTCATCACTTTCATATATATTTCCTTACTTGGAACAAACTGTTTGAAACCAAGGGTGGAAAAACAGTGTTGTGAGAACTAAATCATACATTTTGGTGAAACAGATAAGTGACGCTTCTCATCTGATACTAGAAAAAAACAGACACATTCTTCATGTAGACAAAAGAAAAGAGAGAGCAAAGGCCTGTGATCAAACAGAAACACATAGTATGATACTCTTAAAATAGAGCAAAGCTGTACTGAAATACATGGTACCATGCGTTAGGACTAGTGTAGTTCAAATCTAATGTAGCCCAGGTGAGTGACTGGCTTTTACACAGACTTCTCAAATAGGGCAAGCTGAAGACAATTGAGGGAACACAGACAAATAGGTGGAAGGAGCAGAGAGCATCTTTAGGGCTTACCCTGTATGAATTTCCCTTAATGCTGTCCTGGTAAGACAATATATGTAGTTATGAGCAAGTAAGGGGCTGAAAACCCTTGTAAATGATGAATGAACTGACAGAGGTAAGCGCAGGCGAAAGCCGAAAATGATGCATTTAGACAGACAGAAGATAGCAAAGAACATTCTGGACTAAGGCCTGTTAGCTTGATTGTAGCAATTATGCTATGGTCCTATTGACCTGGCATTGATGCTTCATAGTGGCTTCAAGAGGCCTTGTTTTAAGAATTGTCATTTAAGAGTGATTTGAGAGCAGCCTTTGGAAGGCTGACTGTATGTTCAGCTCTATTTGCTTATGTATTTTTCATGACACTATAATGAGACAGGCCAGAAAGTATTTGGGGAATGGATCTTTTTTCCTCCAAAAAAATTCAGAAACAAGTCTGTTTTATTGAATTAAGTTTTTAAAGCAGTTGTGATTAGTTCAGTGTTCTTTGCATTGTTTGGTTGTTCTAGAACATTATGTTCATTTTATGCTGCACGCTATTTTTCTGTTTTATGCATATAGCTGTCTTGATTTTCTGTGGTAAAGGAGAAGAGGCAGAACATTTGTGGGTTTAACAGAAGGACAAAGATGATTTGGTGCTTCCAAACATAAGAATATAGCAACATGAAGAGGTGGATAATGGAGAAAGGAAAGAGAAGTCAGTGTCACTGCTTGTTTTGGAGGGCAGACGTCCTTGAACTGATCAGTCTGCTCAAAGCAATGCCCATGCACACATCTTGTGTGTCCTTGCTGCTGTGGAAGGGATAAACTGCAGAGTGAATTACCCGCTTCTGACTAATGCAGAGTCAGATGTAAAAGAGAAGTGGATTGAAAATACATTATTGCCTTGGGCATGATTTTCTGGGAAGCTGCAGCATTGGGAAGGGCACCTTAGCAAAGCTGTTCTCTCCTTCCTGTCTTCCTACCATCAACTTTGCAAATTTCTTCTGTTCTTTGTACCAGTTCTTTTTCAGTAAGACTCATTTCTGAGGGGAAAAAAAACATATACTTTTATGGCTTATTCACTTTGATGAAAATTTGATCAGTTGTATTCTTTAATAACTCAATTTTTCCACATTGTGTACAGTCAGTCCTCGACTCTAATTGCAGTTTTAAAGACGAGTGAAAAGATGAGCTAGCATGCAAGTACAGCTGAAATCTGTTACGAAAGGAAAGACAAAACCTGGTGGAAAATAATGACATGTCAGTGAAACACCTCCTGGTATTAGTGTCATGAGGAACAGCGTGAGCTCAGTGCAACCTCCTAGCACTGACTTGTGAAGCTGGGCATATTTAGATCCCTTATTAGAAGAATTTCTGGATCTGTGAATTTCTAACAGGAGAGAATGAAGCTGCCCCAACACCCCTCTTTCC